ATAGTGGGCCCCACTGAACCTCTGTCAGGTTTAAGAAATACTGCATTCTAATTGGCTTTATTTGCAGCTGGCCATTATTTTATTTGTTGAGATTGACCAGTGTAATATATGGTTTTCAGGATTTCCACACATTTGGGGGATTTTTTGCAATGCAGATATTTTCCTTTTGCCCAAGGCAATAATAGACAGGGATGCAAACACTGCTTTAAAGAGGGTGTCTGCTGATTTACATATTTTAAAAGTATTAAGATCAAAGGTAATGAGAATCTAATCCATATGGCATGTAGAAGATAAATAAGAATATTAATACTGTATCAAATACTAATTAAAAGAAACACATGGATCTAATTTTAAGAATGTAACTCAAGGGTGAAATACTCTTTGTGAAGTTAAGACCTGATTCTCTTGTAAAAAGGACAGTTACAGTACAACTGGATTTTTCCCCTACAGGGGTGAGAACTGGCTGATATATACACACACACCACACATAAACACACACACACACACACACAAGCACACACACACATATTCACACAGAGAGGGAGAACGTGTACTTTTACAGAATCAGGATAATTATGAGCACAGTTACTATACTGTAATAGTCAAGAGGTGCTTTTATATCTTTTTTTTGATACTCAGAGCAAACCTGCTGTTTTATTATTTATTTATTTTGCAGTACTGAGGATCAAACCCAGCACCTTGAGCATGCACCTTGAGCAAGTCCTCCACCACTGAGTTACATCCCCCAGCCCAAAATCACTTAGTTCCTAGAACTCTTACCCCCATTTCATTGAAAAGGAAATACACTCATAGAAGCAAATGAACATGCACTTAATCAGTCTCAATCTTAGTCTCCTTCTCCTTCTCCCTCTCTTCCTTCTCTCCTTCCCCTCCCCATCCCTTAATTATAATTGTTCAGATGGGTACAGGGAGATGAATACTGTCATTCACTACGAATAATGGGTGTGCAAATTGGTGCAGTATGTTTCGTGTATCTATAGCTGTTCATATACTTTCTGATATTATCTCACTTCTAGGAATCTTAAGAAATAACCAAATATATAAATATTTATCCCTAAGCATTTTTGCAGCATTTCTAAGAAACTTTTAATAAACCAAGTAACCAACAAAAGAAGAATGTTTAAGTTATAACACATCTTAAAGGACATAACATTAGGGCACTATTGAAGCATAATTTTTTTGGGCTGGGGATGTGGCTCAAGTGGTAGCGCGCTTGCCTGGCATGCGTGCGGCCCGGGTTCGATCCTCAGCACCACATACAAACAAAGATGTTGTGTCCGCCAAATACTAAAAAATAAATATTAAAAATTTAAAAAAAGAAGCATAATTTTTAAAAAAAATTTACAGTTACCATCAAGTGTTTGTACTTAAATGTTAAGAGAAAAAAGCAGAATAAAAAATATATAATGTAATTTTTCATACATACACATTTTTATTTATTTTATCAGGGTTAGCAAAAATTTTCAGTAAGGAATCCGGTATCAGTAGTTTGGGCTTTGTGGCCCTGAGGTTTCTGGTGCCATTATTCCACTCTGCCCCTGGAGGGTAAAGAGGCACAGGTAGCATGTAAATAAATAAGCATGACTGTGTTCCAAAAACTAAAACTATATCAATATAGTGTGTATCAATAAAACTTTATTGATACACACTGAACTTTTAATTTAGGTAATTTTTTATGGGCCACAAATATTATTATTTTTTTTCAACCATTTAAAAATGTAAAAACCATTTCCAGATCATAGGCTCTATGAAAAAAAAAAAAGTTATATAGTTGTCTGTCAACCCCTGATCAGAAATAAACTGAAATAATCAGTAAACTCTGGATGATAGGAATGAGCAGTCCTTATTTTCTTCCTTAATATGCTTACCTATATTTTCTACATTTTTTTCTCATACACATTATATTCTTTAAAAACAGAAAGAAAATACTAAGCTTGTCTAAAAAACAGTAAATGGCAGGACCAGGGCAGGTTTTGAGTAGAAAGTCCCTTTTGACCACGCCCATTGCCACCTGGGGTCTCACAGCTGGAATGGTCTTTCCAGATCTCTAAAAAGTCTAATGCTTTGTTTTACAAAAGGAAATGAAAACTTCAAAACAAGTGACTTACCCCCAAATCACCCCCATAGGGACAGAGTCCCAGCCAGCCCCAGTGCCCCCAATTCTCTGTCCAGTGCCCTTGTCACGTTCTCCCTGGGCTTCATTACATACACATAGGATCCTCAGAGCTCACCTTTTCTTTCTTTTTTTTTTTTTTAGCTCCAAATTAATTCTATTTTATATGTTCCCTTCCATTCATGGTTCCCTTCTTTGGGTCCCCACAGCAAATTTCCTTAGGCTCATGTATGAAAACACCAGAAGCCTAGAGAGGGTCCCCTTGTGTGGCTGGAAGGGGAGAAAAATGGCGGGATAGTCAGCTTTGAAAGGAAGAGTCTACATGTGAAGGCGTGGTTAGGTGGCAAACTGTCCCTCAGCAGCCCCCTCCCGGCAAACGTCCCTGCTCCCTGGTGCCTTCCAGGACCTTCGAGTCTCCTCTCACAGCCTCCCCCTGCAGCTTTATATCAGGGAAAGAGCACAGGAACGGGAGTCACAAATTCTTACCTCCTGTCCTAAGTGCTGTACCTCGGCTCTACAGCCCCAGCAATGTTGGAAAGTCACTCTGCTGGCAAGCTCTCGTCTTTCACTTTTCTTCATTAGCCAACATCTACTGAGTATTAATAATTATGTTAACATCACATTGCTAGACTGCTCTGGGGACAGTGACAGCCCTAACCCTCTGGGAGTGTCACTAAATGGCCATACCTCCCTTGCCTATGTCCCAGGGGGCTGGGTATCCAATTTAAACCATCTGTGTAAATTATTTTGAAAAAATCTACAAACGTGAGAAGGGATTTTTGTTATTGGTCTCTTTGTTCCTTGCTACAAAATCAAAGGAGAAAAGCATGGACATTCACGCCATTCAATTGGAGAAGGGGCAGAGGCAGCCTCTGTGAGGGTCTTTGGATATAAAACAGTCCACCCACCAGTCCATTGCTCCTGCCTGGCCTACCCCCTGCCAGCATAAGGAGGGCAAGGTAAAGTTGAGGGAAGTCAAGTCGCGTACAAGCCCTGATTAATCTGAACTTAATGTGTGCTAGATGGACCTGAATTCATATTTTCAGGATATTAAAACTACCAATTGAAAAATGTAAAAACAGACAGATGCCTGTATCCTTATGATTGCAAAGAACAAATTTAGGAAAACTGTTCCTATTCAGATAAAGGATTCTGGCATTTTCAAGGTGCAGAGGAGAAACTGTGTAAAAGGTGAATCTAGCTGAAGGGTCCAAAGTGAAGGAACTAGTCCTTTCCCCATCCTCATGGTGCACACCTCACATGGGAGATGCATTGTAGGGGAGGAAAGGTAGGACCTGGTCCTCACCTGTTGCCATGCTCATGGCCTGAGGCCCCTATAACAAAAGACACATTACCCAGAGAAAGTAATAAATTTATTTAATATAGATTTTTAGGTGACACAGAGCCTTCTTAACGAAGAACCAAAGAAACAGGAAAACCTGTGTGTTTTATGCTAGGTCTAATGAAGAAGTGGACAGTTATAGAAAAGCATGATTGGACAAAAATGTGTGTGATCTAATGGCAATAAGCTGGAGGAACTTAGCAAGGCCTGTTTAAGATGCTTCTCTGTGTCTCCGAGTCTTTAGCTCCTTTTCTCCTGGTCTAGGCATCTATTTCAAGGGAAGGTCAGAGAATTCTTTCATGTTCTGCTTCAGGGGAAAATGGCAGAGAAGGCCAGAGAGACCTTCCTGCTTCTGCTGTTTCCAAACACCACGTGCCATATTTTGAGAGAGTGTGTCCTGAACCCCATCAATGTTCCATGACTGTTTAATTTAGGTGTACAATAATGCTGTCTCTTAATATAAAACAGCATGGCCTTTATAATAAGTTTGGTGACTTTATTGTAAGTCTTTTGCTGGCAAGTAATTGCACACCTAACCCAAACCAGCTAAAACAATAAAGAAGATTTATTGACTCACTTAATTGCAATGTCCTGAGTACATGAGGCATGACTTCATCAGGACTTCACACTCTGTCCTTTACAATTCCCACAACTCTGTCATCCTGGAGGATTAGCTTCACCCTCATTTTGGTTCCCCATTTAGTGGCTAAATGGCTGGAGCAGTTCTAGGCTTTATATCTAAGCAAAACACTGTTCATAAGGAGCTGGAGCTTCCATGTCTCAGAACTGAATTAGACCTCCCTTAATCAAGCCTTCCAGCCAGGGGGATGCTGTGGGCCATTTCAATGATGCCTGGGTCATCTGAACCAATCCCTTGTAAGAAAAGGAATGGAGTTACCCTGACTTAGGCCTACCAAGATCCATCTCTGGATCTGCGGGTGGACTCGATCTCTTCAAATGCATGAATGCTATACACTGTGGAAGGAGTAAGATGGGTAGTGGGAAGACAAGTGTTCATTTTATCAGTCAAGACCCAAATCAAGAAACAGAAACCATGCCGATTATTTTCACAGAGAGAATTTAACAATTCTTTTTTTGTTTTGGTTTTTGGTACCAGGGATTGAACTCAGGAGTGCTTAACCACTGAGCCACATCCCCAGCCCTTTTTATTGCTGAAGCTGACTTTGAACAATCCTTCTACTTCAGCCTCCCAAGATGCTGGGATTTCAGGCATGCACCCCATACCTGGCAAGATTTTAATAATTCTTTAACTGTTAATCAATATTAAACAATTGAGCTGGGTATGGTGGCACAGACCTATAATCCCAGCAGCTCTGGAGGCTGAGGCAGGAGGATTGCAAGTTCAAAGCCAGCCTCAGTAAAAGCAAGGCACTAAGCAACTCAGTGAGACCCTGTCTCTAAATAAAATACAATGTTGGGCTGGGGATGTGGCTCAGTGTTTCAGTGCCCCAGAGTTCAATCCCCAGTTACCGCCCCCCCCCCAAAAAAAAAACAATTGAAAGGGCAAAAGGGAGACAGAGCAGTGTCCCAGAGACACACTTTAAGAAGTGTCTACCACTCCTAAAACTTAAAGAACAAAAAGATGTGATTGTTAGCTTGTAGCCTTGAAAGGGGCCTTATAAAATTGAAACCCAGACTTCTCAGTAATGTCACTGTCCAACAAGTGATCTGAGGGGACCAATGTGGCTGGTTCTCATAGTGTGGGAACACTGCTACTGCTATAATCACCTGTTGCTGTAAGGATGAAGACCTGCTTCATGTGACATATAAAAGATGCAGCAGCCCCTCCTTCCCTATGCTGCCTTGCAGTCTCTCCCTAGCTCCCCCTGTTGACAGAGTCTAACAGGGTGTCATGCGGCAAAGGAGATAAAGGATTTGCGAGATCCTATTCCATCATCACAGAGTGTGAAGCTGAGAGTAATAGTAATAATAACATTAGGACAAGAATGGAAGAATAAAGAAGTTAGTGTGCTTGTGTATACATGCTTGTGCATTTTTTTAAAAAGCAAGAAGAAAACATGCATAGCTGCTGTAATCCTTGTGAGTGGAAATGAAATGGTCACAAAGCCATAAAGTTGATGGTTATGGTTTCCTTATTCCATACTCTATGATCTCTCAGCAAGAACCTCAGCTGGCTGAGATGCTTTTCCTGACAAGGCAACCCAAACCTCATAAGGATCTGATTCTTCAGTGGTTCTGCATATTTCTGCTGTTGTAGTTTTCATTAACTTTTACTATTAAACTTACAAGTGTTGAGAGATACCCAGAGAATCTTCTGGGTTGCAGACACTCCTCTTTTCTACCATTGTGTAAGTCCAGTTCCTAGCTGATAGGGATCAATACGTCCTGTAGAGCAATCTCTTTTCTTTGCCTCTTGGTTCAGTAGCATGAAGAGCCCCAAAATGCCAACTGGCAATCTGTTTTCTAATTCATGCAACCATTGTTGTGTCCCCTGTTGGAAGCATTCTTCTCTTGAATACCAAGACCTTCACTTCAGTAGAACTCAAAACTATGGGAACAAAGAGCAAAAATTCTATATAAAACTATTTTAATTATTCAAACCAATAAAATTTCAGAGTAAACCCATTATCTTTGATTTATCACTTTCCTGAAAATATATTTTTACCTTCGACTTGAATCTCCTTGGGGGCAAAGTCTGAAGCTACCCATCTGCCTGCCCAGTGGGCCTTATTATAGTACCTGTTACCTACCTGGCAGATGAATGCTGGTAGAATGTACCCAGTAACCCCTAGGTTGATGGGTAGCTAGATATGGGCTAACTGGTTAGAATTGGAAGACATCTATATTAGAAAAATACCTGTTTTTATTTTCATTTTCCTTGGTATCTCACACATGAAAGCTGGGTTTCTTTGGTCTCTTGCTTTAGGAATAAACTCTAGTAATCTGTGACTCAGCAATTCCATTGATGAGCCTTTGGTTGATGATTTCAAGTATATAAATTCCTTGGAGGAGCTGGTGGGTCCCTACTTCCCTTTAGAGTATTCTAGCTGTGGGGTAGTGTTTAATCTTACTGTGCACTTTAAAATAGAATACCTCCCACTTTAGAAGATTCATTTTCCCATGACTTTAACCAGGGAAACATTTCATTAGTTGTTCTTCCCACATCCCGAGGAGCTCCTAAAATGGAAGCCAACTTGTCTTGCACTGCCTGGAGCTCCTTCCCAACATCAAACGCCTAATGAAAGTGTTTTCCTCTGACCTCAAGCACTTCCAAATATTAAATGTGAAGAGGAAAGATTTTGCTTAAACTGCAAAGTGTTCTAGAAATTCAGGGGATGTGAGACTATGTGTGTATGTGTACGTGTGTGTGTCTGCCCATGCATGTATGTTTTACCTGTTTAATATTTTGGAAATAAATATAATAGTATGCCCAAACCCTTTCTAAACAAGGTTGTATAAATAAACACCATTTTGACTTTATTGGTCCCCAGTTGTTAACCTTCAGGGTTAAATTAGGAAGAAGTAGGAGGGGCATAGGCTCATTCCACAACTCAGAAGAGCTGTCGGCCTGAGGGAAACAGGGCTCCCACAGACGCCCAGTGGCAGACCAAGGCTCTGGGCATTGTGATGTCTGAGGACATGAAACTTAAGGAGGGTTGTTTGGAGGGAAGAGGCAGGGGTAGACAAAAGGGGGACAAGGCACATTAATTATGATTTTATCCCTGGTGCTGAAGTAGTTTTAGGGATGACCTGGACTTAAAACCAAGCAGCTGTTCCATATTAGAAGTATCCCCCTCTCCTGAGCAGCTGTGAAGAATCTTTGTTTTAAAATAATATCAAAAGTAGTTCCCAGGGAAGAGGTATTAGAAACTTAGTGTTTGCTTTCTGGTGAAATATTTTAAAATCATCCTAAGATAAACACATGGGCACTCTTAACTACTGCTCAAATTTGCATTTTGCATAATTTACGCTTTGTTAAAAGTGTGTTAAGTATCCTAGGCTGTTAATATATTCATTCTATTATCCACAATTTGCAATGATTTCTCTGAGCTAACACCTAGTTTATGTGTGAACCTTGCTGAGATGAGTAGATACTGTGTTCTGTGTGAGCAGAGCCCTCAGGAATCCTGCCATTTCCAGCCGGTGGCAGCCTTACGTGGCGGGCCTAAGCCCCTCACCCAAGCTTAGCTTTTTAGCAGTTGCTCAAAAATGCTCAGCATTTTCTTAGAGAAATGAGTTGGTTACCAAAATTCTATACACTGTAGGGATCAACAAGTTATTGTTTTTAAGAAATCCATGTTTTAATTAGTCTCTAGATCCCAGGCAAAGTAAAAGTCATGAATTGGATTTAATTTCAAAGTATGGTTGTGGAACACGTCACTATAGAAGCAACTATTCATATAAAGGTAATAAAAATATACTTCTTGGTTCTATAACTAGTAAAATGGAAAAACTATGGCCAGCAAAGAACTGGGGAATCAGATTCACCACATGTAAAGATTCATGTTCTGTAAACAATATACTTCTTTGGATGAGACCTTTTGACACGGACCAAGTGCTCTCAGTTAGACTTTGTTTTTATTTTACAAAATAATGATAAAATATTTCAATAACCCAGAAGAAAAGAAAAAATACAAAAATTACCCACAAATTTTAAAATTAAAATTTTACATTTTAAATTGGACATTTCAGATTTCTGACCTCAAGAATTATAACATAGGGGTGTTAGTTTTAAGGTTCTGGGTTCAATCCCCAGCACAAGGGGTGGGGGGAGGATTGTCATAAATCTGTGTTGCTTTTAGCTACTAAGTTAGTGGTCATTTGTTGCAGCAGCACTCAGAAACTAGAACAATCTACAATAGAGATGGTTTACAGATCAGGAGGGAAAGGATACAATAAGCAGAGTGGGACCAATCAATTATCCAGAGAGGAAAAAAAAGAAAATTAGATCCCTCACATATATATATATATATATATATATATATATATATATATATATATATATATCATATACACAAAAAAATTTGAAAATTCTAAATCCCATCTTAACCTGTTAAAATCCCATCTTAACTTGTCCCAACCCTGTTCTTCTCTGATCCCTGTAGTAATCACTGTCCTGAATTCTCTTTTCATTCCCTTGTATTTACTTTTACTAAAAGTGTTGGTGGAGCCAGTTTTTCCTGAAGATAAGGAATCTTGGGCTGCATGGCTCAGAAGCTGCAGAGCCAGTGGCCGGGAAGGAGCCTCAAGTGCCACTCCAGTTGGGGGACAGCTCCAGGTCTGGAGTGGGTGGCCCAGGCACTGCCAGCACTACCTCCACAACCTTCCAGTAGCTAAGGAGAACTACCCCTGGTAGATGCTCTGTGCCTCGATTCCCATGCTCAACCATTCGAGAAGGATGTGCTCCTTGCTCAGAGCCTACAGCCCGGGCTGCCCTGAGAGGTCAGACAAACAACCTTTTAGTGCAAGAAGGGCAGAAGTTACAGAGTTTTGATGCTTAAAGGTTCTTTTCTAAAGACCCATTTTCCCATTTTCTTGATTAATCATGCTAGATAAAAGAGAGAAGTCTCCTTTAACTCTCTTTAGAAAAGTTTATTACAACACTGGAATCAAAAGGAATGCAGCCAACAAATGTAAGAACATGGTGTTATAAAGGTATGTCTAATCATTAATCAGAGTATTACATTGTTTTTCTGGATTTTATTTTTTGTGGCATTTGTCAGCTTTAATTTATAATGTGTTGTGATTTTTTTCTTATTCAAAATTAATATTCACATTTGCACCCAATTTATAGCTATATATTCTCTTTCTTAAAGAGTCCCTCAAATCGTATAAGCTTCGGTCCTGCAAAACCCTACATACATGAAAGCACAAACATTATGTTTTAAAACTTTGTACAGATGCAGAATGTATTTGTCATTCTGTAGATTTGGGGTTTTTTCCTTAAAATGTTTTCAATATTTATCCATTTTGATGCAAGTAGAACTTGCTCATCAACTGTAAGAGCACAACACAATTCTGCTTTTCCATTGACATATAGGTTGTTTAAGATTTTCAGTATTATAAATGATGCTGAGGGGCTGGGTTGTAGCTCAGCAGTAGAGCAATTGCCTCATATGTGAGGCATTGCGTTCGATTCCCAGCACCACATATAAATAAACAAAATAAAATAAAGGTCTATCAACAACTAAAAAAGTTATTTAAAATAAACAAATGAGGTTCTTGTACTTGCTTCCTCGTATATAAAGGCAAGAGATTTCTAGGGTATGTACCTCCTAGAAAGGAATTGCTCAGCCACTAGAATGTACACCTTCCACTGTTCAGAATATTGCTCTCTACAAAGACAATAAGAATTTGTACCCTCACCTGCAGATTAAGAGCCTTTTTTTTCTCTGTGTCCTCACCAACTCCTGGAATATTCAGATTTAAAAAAAAAAAAAGAGTCAGAAACATAATGACATAGCAAAAAAAAAGTGATAAGAGAGATAAATACTTTATAACATGCTAACTATTTGAATTTCTTCATATATATAATTTCTTCATATATTATATATATCTTTATATATATATATATATATATATCTTTATATATATATAAAATCTAATTTTCTTTTTTTTTCTATGGATAACCGATTGGTTGTACTCTGCTTATTGCATCCTTTCCCTCCTGATTTGTAAACCATCTCTATTGTAGATTGTTCTAGTTTCCGATTGCTGCTGTAACAAATGACCACTAACCTAGTAGCTAAAAGCAACACAGATTTACGACAATTCTCCTCCTCACATACCCCTTCCTCTGGTGCTGAGAATTGAACCCAGAACCTTAACACTAACACCCCTATGTTATAATTCTTGAGGTCAGAAATCTGAAATGTCCAAAAAGGTGATTTTAGGGCTGTGTTCCTTCCAGAAGCCCCAGCAGAGAATCATTTCTTTGCTTTCTCCAGGTTCTAGATGCCTCCTGCATTCCTTGGCTCCATCTTCAAAACCAGCAACGGTATTCCAAGTCCTTCTCCCGAGGCTGTATTTTCAACACCAACTTCTACCTCCACTTCCTATTTTAAGGACCCATTGATTCCATTGGTCCCAGCTGGGTTACATTGGGCCCACCACCCTCCAGGAAAGGCTCCATATTCTAAGGTTAAGTCAGATGACTGGCAACAGACATTCCATCTGGAACATCAATTCCCCTTCACTGTGTAACCTAACATACTCATAGATCCAAAGGGCGAGGATGTGAATGTCTTTCCAGGGAAGAGGGAAGTGGCCTTATTCTGCCCACCACATGAATGAAGATTCCTAATCTATTACTGGACTTCCTTTTCATTATATTCCATTGATTTGTCTGTCTATCTCTGTGCCAATGCCACACTGTCTTAATTATAGTAGCTGCATAATAAATTTTATATCTGGAAAACAAATCTCATCCCTTTCCACATATGTGGCATTTTTCATTTTTTTTTCCCTCAATATCCCTGCTCTTGTGACCTTCCATATGAATTTTAGGATTCGCTCATCAAGTTACATAGGAAGTAGGTTTGAATTTTGCCCTAGATGTGTAGTTTAAATTGTTAATGTTTTTTAAATGTTTTTCTTATGTCTTTCATAAATCTTCTTTATTAATTTCTGTTAAAGTTATTTATTTTATTGCTGCAATACCACCCCCAAAACTTCATGGTTAAGCAAAACAGACATTTATTATTTCTCAGTTTCTAAGGGCCAGAAGTTCAGAAGTAGCTGAGCTGTGTGATCCTAGCTTGGGATCCTTCCTGAGACAACCAGGTCTGCAGTCATCTGAAGGCCCAACTACAGCCAGGGGACCCAATTCCAATACAGCTATTGGAAGGAAGTCTCAGTTTCTAACTAGCCGTTGGCAAGAGGCCTCAGTTCTTCACCCTGTGGGCCTCTGCTTCAGGTTGCTGCAGTGTCCTCCTAACATGGTGGCTGCTTCTACCCACAAGATCAAGAGAGAGACCTAAGCCATAATATTTTATATGACCCAACCTTGTAAACCACACACAGTTATTTCTGTGATCCCATTGATTACACATATCAGTCTTATCAAATATAGGAGAGGAGTACAGAAGTACTCCAAGTACAGAAGTACTCCAATGCCAAGAAGGTGGTGGGGGTAGGAGCATCATTGGGGATCACCTTGGAGACTAGTTACTCTGCTTACATTTTCTAGTGTTATTATAAATGGTTTTTTATTATATATTTAAATTGGTCATTGCTGGGATATAGAAACATTATTGGGTTTTGTATGTTTTTTTTTTATATATATACTGGGGATTGAACCCAGGGATGCTTTACTGTTTATACCCATGAGTTACAACCCCACCCCTTTCTATTTTTGTATTTTGAGACAGGGTCTTGCTAAGTTACTTAGGCCTCACTAAGCTGCTGAGACTGGCTTCAAGTTTGCCATTCTTGTGCTTCAGCCTCCCAGGTCACTGGGATTGTAGGCATGCACCACCATGCCCATTATTGTATGTTGATTTTTTTTAACATCAACTTTCTAGACTCTTAGTTTCATTGTAGATTGTCTCAGATTTCCTATATAGCCTATCATACTGTTACATAGAAATATGTATTTCTTTATTTCCAATTATGCTCTTCTTATTTCTTGCTTTATCACATTGTCTAGAAGTATCAATACATCATTGAATATAAGCAAAATTAATGAGAATGGCTATTCAGCTCCTGATCTTATTTTTTTTAAAAAAGAGACTTTAAAGTTTCACCATTAAGTATGATTTTTTTCTTGTAAAGCTTCAACAAATTAATTTTATAAGATAAAGTATGTTATCTTCTATTTCTTGTTTGATAATTCTTAAGAGATTATATATTGTCAGAAGTATTTCTGCATCTATTTAGATGAATGAACCACAGGACTAAAGTTTTACTTTAGACCTTATGGTTTTTTTCTTTAACTTTCCAGTAGTGTGGCATATTGGTATTTATACATTAGTAGACTTTTTTAAAACATATATTTCTACGTTTCCATCTATCTCTCACTGTTTGTACTTTTGTATTTCCCTATGAGATTGCTGCCCTTTTTTATCTATTGAGCAGAGTGAGTCATCTGACTTTCCTACAAGGAGTTCTGGAACTTTCCAGGAATGGCCAGACCTCCCTTTCTCTGCATATTAGAGCTGTGGCACCAGTTTTGGGGACCCTGGGCACAGTTATAAGGCCTTGATTATTGATGAGGACTTGAGCGAGCTTTAGTATGTGGAACCTACTTTACAGGAAGTAGGATTTCCTCATAGAAGACCTTAGCAGGTGGAGGTCTGAACCCAGAGAGGGAAGCAGACTGTCAAGGGAGGTTAGATGCCAGTCTGTTCCTCTACCCTTTCTTTTTTAGGTATTTTGTGATACTGGAGATGGAATCCAGGGACACTGTACTACTGAGCTACATTCCCAGCCCTTTTTATTTTACTTTGACACAGGTTCTCACTAAGTTGCTGAGGCTGGCCTTGAACTTGCAATCCTCCTCCTTCTTGAGTCGCTGGAACTACAGGCATGGCTACCATACCCAGAATCAGTAGACTTTTTAAAAAAAGTTGAACCATCCTTTACATTCTGAAATAAATTCTACTGAATCAAAATGTATTTTTTAGACCCTTCTGAATTTTACTTATGAATGATTTCCATAGTTTCTCCTCAGAGCTCAGCACAGTTCTTTAGCATCAGAGACTTCAGTAAATATTTTACAGAAGTTTGTCTGCAGAACCTTGGCGGGCAGAGCTCTTGGGTTCTCTTTCACTCTGGTGCTTTCTTTCTGCCAAAGCTAGTGTTACTACTTCACTTAGTTATAACACCTTGAATAATTTATCTATGCAGGAAAAACTGAAAAATAAAAAGTAAGCTTGATCTATGTATTAGTCAGCTCTGTATCACTGTGAACAAAATACCCCCCCTCAAAAAAAAAAAAACAAAACAACTTAGAGGGGGAAAAGCTTATTTTGGCTCATAGTTTCAGAAGTTCAGTCCATCACGGTCCATTGGTGGAAGGGTGTGGTGGAGGAACACGGAGGCCAGAAAGCAGAGAGACAGGAAGGGGCAATCCACCTCCTCCACCTGCCTACAGTTACCACCCAGTTAGTCCATTCAAATTAGGATGGACTAATTAGCTTGCATTTCTCATCATTTTACCTCAGAATATTCCTGCATTGACACAGGAGCTTGTGAGGAATACCTCATATTCAAAGGATAACAAGCTATATAGTGTAACCAGTAGCAAGTACTCAGAGACTGTGATTTTTTTTTTTACTCCTTCTCAGGGATAGGAGCTAAATATCTGCAACAGTAGCAATTAACATGACTAGAGATTTAAACCCACATGATATTCAGTATTAGGAAAATCAAAAACTGGCCAATCTTGGTTTGAGGGGTGTGTGTGTTGTTTGGTTTAAATTTTGGGTACTTTCATATGCACACAGAGCTATTCAGTGGTGTCTATTATAGGACAATAGAGTGCCCTCCTACTATAGGATACATTATAGACTGAGATCATTCTAAAAACTAAAAAGGAAACAAATATTATATGTTAGACATGAAGTATTAGGCTATTTGAGACATAATTTGTAAATGAGATAGAAATAGTCTCTGCTCTCATGAAATGAGGAGAGGCTTTTAAGCCATGGTAATCATGAAAGGAGTGGCTTAAAAGGGGAAGTTTAGATTGCTACAGGAACATATAGCAAGAGAACATAGCCTGATCCCAGGACTCAGGACGAGTGTCCTAGGAAAATCATAATGAAGCTCTATTATAATGAAGACTTGAAGGATGATTGGAAATTATTCTTATTCTTTATAGTGGGAAGTGTGTTCCAGGTTGAGGGATAGGTCCAGAAGCTATAAGAAAAAAGCCAGTAGGGAATACACAAGGAAGTAGAAGTCCATCTGCCTGATATATAGTGTACCATATGCTTAGGAAGATAGGCAAGGGACAGAACTACCAACAGGCTAAGGATTTTGGATCTCATACTAAGGGCATTTTCCATGACACCTTAATAGAACTTGTTAAAGTAAATATATTCAATGATACTTGTTAGAGCATGGTAAATAAGACTTTATTCGGGATTATCACAATAGATATAGATACCACTGCAACAGGGTCTTGCAATGAGGGAGAGAGAGAAAGGGCTCCACCCTGAATACAGCATAGGTGAGTGAGAATTTATAGCCAAGGAGCTGCATAGGGTCAACGGATGGAAATTACTAAGGGGAAATATCAGGGGTGAGGGGGATTCTGGCCAAACCAACCTAAGAGGATTCTGGCACAAGACAGGTCAGATGATCAGAAATCATCTGAAGATGAGAAACCAGGGCAGATGTCAGGATGAGAGGGTCTGGCTAAACTGACTTATCAGGGTTCTTTTCCTTTAACTGGATTTTTTTAAAGGAAGTACACAAATGGGCCTCGTAGAAGGATCGGAAGCCTAAATTTGGACAAGCAAAGAATCCTTGTCAGGCTCCTTGCTCACGGGTGGAAACCAATGTTTATTGAATGATTCCAAACAAAAGTCAAATGGATGTCTTTCTCTCTTATGTGTCTCCTCAGTCAGTGGAAAACTCCAAACACTGCTTCTCTACTAGCTGTGGGTGGTACCGACTCCAGAATCCCCACACAAACAGATGTTGGGGACTATGTACAATGTGTTAAAATACATTCAATCTACTGGTACCCAGAAAGTACTTGCTCTCCCTCAAGCCCAGGAAGAAACCCAATTTCCTTAAGTGGCCCCTAATTTCCCCTCCCTCACTTTGCCCCCTGCCTTCCTCGGCTCCCACCCCCCTGCTTTTTCTTTCAAAGTGAAAAAAAAAAAAAAATCCCAGCAGGACTATGGTTCCTTCGTTCCCCTGAATAGTGAAATAAGTACTCTGCAACAGGCATTAAGTATTTAAACCTTTGTTAATTGGTTAAGAAAAACAATTGTCACAGTGGCCTTGCTCCCCTAGAGGCTGGGGAGAGAAACAATGGGGTGTTCTTTCACTCTCCCACAGAAGCCCCTCAGGAGACCTCTCTGGAGAGCATAAGATTCTTTCCAACAAGGTTACTTCAAAGGGTGTAAAATCAGCAGCTGGGCTCAGAGACACCACAGAACCTAGCCGAGTGCCCCTTGCCTCTGCTTTGGTCACTTCTGTCCCTGGATTACTGCCACATTGAGTCCCTGCCTGTGTCCTCAGAAAACTCCATTGGACTTTAATGTTTTTAAGGGTATGGGTGTATGTACGTGTGCCTCACACCTGCATCCCTTAACACACTGAGTCATCTTGAGAGCCGGGACCTACACTAGTTCCACCTCTGACCTGAGTGCTGATGCAGAGCAGGTGCTCAGGGAAGAGATCCAACCTCCCTCACCTGCTCTCTAGGCAGAGGTTGGGCCTCTTCTGGCTGAGCCTTCTCCTCCGGGCCTTTGGGAACACTTTTTCATTTCTGAGTTTGTCTCCATCATTCCATTGGCCACAAAGTCTCCATGAGAGATGGGGATGTCAGGTCAAGGCCAGAGAATAGTTTTTCTAAATTTCCATTTTGCCTGAGGCCACTTGTCTCAATGCAGCTGTGAGCCCAAGCCTTTGCACTAAGGGACTCATTTACACTAGCATCGTGTTTCTCAGTAGAAAAATCCATACTGGGGCTAGAATTGTCCATGCATAGTAAATAACAGCAATAATAACACATATTTCATACTCTGTTCCTGCACCTGGGTTAAGTTGGTTTTTGTTGTTATTATTATTTTTTTGTTGTTGTTTTGTTTTATACAATATCGTATTTAATCCTAACAACATCCTAGTAAGTAGGTACCATTCGTATTTCTTGATGAGGACACAGGTTTAGCACCTTGCCCACACATAGCTGGCCTGCAGATCAGCTGACTTCATGATGATGTTGGAGGCAGAAATAAGTTTTCTATCCTGAAGATGTTGTTTTTCATATATAGCAGTAATCTTTGGAGAAAACTAATTCTCAGCAATCAAAATAATTTACAAAAGACCTCTTCTATTTTTGAGGTATCCTGGCAAAGAGCTGGGATTTGACCTCTCCTGTCCCCATCTTGTTTTCTTCTCCTCTTCCTAAAGTTATGCCAAACTAATGGATCAAAACAAAAACCTGGTAACACACAGATTTAGAAAATCTTATATACATGCTACTAGGCATCTAGCTAATTAAATAAATCTGAATTTTTTATTTGATTTTTAAACTTTTCATCCAGGATTGTGGTCTGTCTGTAGGGCTCTATGTTTATAGCTTATCTCCCTCAAAAAAAAAAGAAAAATATTTTAAAATCGAATTGGATGAGTTATAAGCATCTGTACTAAAGCTATTTATCTAGCTTCCCCTCACTCCTTGCCTCCCATCCCCGCACCCCGCTTTAAAAAGGGAAAAACAGAATCTGTACACCTGTCACCATTTTCATAAAGTATTTATTTACCAATTAGTCAGCACTGTGAACTGGTTGATTTAATGGTCTCTCATATGATTTATGCATAACTTTTATTAATTGAGCCTGTGGAGATGAAGGGCAGATATAAATTAAAGTGGAAAATGTATCACTTGTGGTTCCTTTAAGGAAATTCAGTTCTCTTCAACCATCTGTGCCCTTTTGGTGGCGGTGGTAGATTTTTTTCCCCCATTAAAGGGTTTCTTGGATTTCAGGTAATAGGGTTATGTAAGTACCAGAGAATACCCACACAGGGTGGGCATTGGTTTGGACCTTTCCCGCTTGTTAATATAATTAAAAAGAACTTTTATTGACCTGTAACTTGATTCTTGATAGTTACAGTATTTTAAAGAGAGAAGGCAATAAGCTTAAAAGGCAGCTTAGAATCTCCAGCCTTGCCATCAGCCAGGCAAACTGCTGCTATTTTTAGGCCATCTCTGCCTTTGATTCAGACCCTTAGGAGGAAAACTGAAATAAGTTCTCAGCAGACATTAGGTCGTTACCCTACATATCTAGAACTCTTTTCAACAAATTATCGTACCTGAAACTGCTTCCACCCTTCTGCACTCAGCTCCTGAGACCAAGGTCTGTAGTACTGACAAATTAGTCCTCCATGCTGTGGTTCTTTACCTTGGCTGGCTGCACATTGAAATTGCCAAGGGAGCTGTAAAAAAATAAAATTAAAATAAAAAGTTGATCTGCTTGGGTCTCACCTCCAGAGACCCTGAGTAATTGTTCTGGGGTGTGGCCTGGCCATTGGGATTATTTTAAGGTTTCCCAGATGACTCTAATGTATAGCCAAGGTTGAAAATGACTGCTCTAGGGACATGCACAAAGAAGAAAACTGGTAATAAGTCACACAAATAAATTCTAACCTGTCCTCCATTTTCAAATATTTCTACTAGCCTGAATAATGTATCCCAGGTGAATAATGTATTCCTAGTGCTTCTTTGTTTCAGGAATCCCTTGAGCTTGTGTTTCTCTTATGGGGGGGGGGCGGGGGGCCAAAAGAATATCTGTTTCTACCCTGGCTCACATCTGAAAAACCAGAACATTGTGGGAGGCTGAGTCCTATCACCTCTGAGCCCTGCCTACAGGATGGAGCCTGAGATCTCACAGAGCAATGTTCACGTTTTAGTCAGCTTTTTCCCTGCTCTGATTAAAAGACCCAACCAGAACAGCTGGAGAAGAGGAAAAGTTTATTTGAGGGCTCACAATTTCAGAGGTCTTAGTCCACAGAAAGCCGTCTCCATTCCTTGGGGCTCAAAGTGAGGCAGAACATCATGGTGGAAGAGTGTGGCAGAGGGAAGCAGCTCACATGGTGATCAGCAAAGAGAGAGAGAGAGTCTCCACTCTCCAGATACAAAAAATATATCCCATAGCCAAGCCCTCAGTGAACCACTTTCTCCAACCACATCCCACCTGCTTCCAGTTACCTTTCAATTAATCCCATCAGGGAATTAACCACTGATTAGGTTAAAGCTATTACCCAATCATTTCTCCTCCAAATCTTCTGGCATTCTCTCACACCTGAGCTTTTGGGGGCCACCACAACCAAACCACAACACCTCAGTAGTGTACACCCCTTTGTGATTTTCTAGGAATGAATATGGAGTCACACTGGTACTTCTCAGGCTAACCCCCTTGTAACATCTGAGATAACCAGCCAGCAACAGGGGCACCATTTGTGGGCAATGGAACAGTCCAGGTGCCACAGTTTGAGTGTGTCCCTCTAGTATTCATGTGCTGGAAACTTAATCCCCTAATTCCTATGTATTTGGAGATAGAATTTATGGGAAGTTATTACAAATGGATAAAGTTATAAGGGAGGGACCCAGTGGTGACTTTATAAGAAAAGGAAGCTTTATAAGTAAAGAAAGCAACTCCTAAGCTTAGAATTCTTTCTCTGTCTCACTATGTGATACCTTATCAGGTGCCAAGCAGAAGCTGGCACCACACTTAGACTTCCCAGCCTCTAGGACTATGAGCCAAATAAACTATCTTTATATATTACCCTGCCTCGAGTACTTTGTTATAGCAACAGAAAATAGACTAAGACACCAGGGGATCAGAAAAATTTATAGCTGAAAGAAATAAGTAGTCACACCTCTTGGAGTTGGGAATCAGTCAACAAATTACACAGTGTTTGTTCAAGAAGAAAAGGTTTTATTGTCTTCAGTTAGATAAGTGGCTCCTTTGGGTAAGTGAGTTTTCTAACCAGTGAACTGAGAACTAGGAACTAGAATACAAGTCATCTTCTAGTAAAGGCTCTATTTGAAGCACATCTCTACCCCTGTGTTTGGACTTACGTTGTGGCCTGTAGCCACTTGTGCTGGTTGCCTTACCTTGTGACCTAAAGTTCACAGACCTAGTCCTTTGCAGTTCCTCTGCACCAGACTCAACAGAAACACGAGGCTGAGAGCAATAATTTTCACAGCAGCCTGGGCGTCGCCAACGTGATTTATGTGTTTTGACTTGGAGACTATATTTTAATGCTGAGATTTTTCTGATTATCTTTTTGTGTGCACCCGCTCACCACATGGGCTCTTAATTTAGAAAATATTCAGCAATTACATGTGGAATTGATACTTTACATAAAAGCAAAAATGGTGCCTCTTATGTATGCTACTAAAAAATTTTGATGTCTTTTATTTTTATGGCAACAGAGATACGTGACCCAAAGAAATGGCTCGTTATTTTTCCTTTTCTGTGAGATGAAATGTTCTTAATTCAAAAGTGGATCTGCCCCCTGAATGAAGGGCACATGGTGAAAGTTTGGGGTTCAGCTGTCCTGAAACCTTAATTGATGAACTTCCATTACTGATGGCTCTGAATCAAATCTGAATCAGACTTAAACTAAATCTAAAATTTTGTGAAATTAATTTTGATGTCAAAATCAGATATCTTGGCAGCTTCATAGAGCATGATTCTTCCAGGAACCGCTACCTTGACAATTGATTACCTAAATATTTAGCAGTTTGTATAAACAACACTCTAGTAAAAGCATTTGGATGGATTTAAAGAAAATGAATGGGTATGTTGATTTCTTCTCTTGCCAAGTTTGTCTGATGCCAACAAAGCAAGAATTTTGGCATTTTTGCTAAATGGCCACTTTGTGATACAGAAAAGTAATGTCAACCAACTATAACAGAAAGGGTCGATATAACTTTTTACATCTGCCTTTGCAACTGTATACACCCTGGGTTTTTAGGAGTGTTTTGTTGAATTCACACTAACACAGGTACAGGAAGGAAAACAATATTCTCAAACATGAAACCTTGGGGAATTTACATTTTTATGAGCTTGGTCAAAATATATCTCAAACTTGTCACTTTCAATAGTTAATTTTTTTATTGCAACCATTGTCCAAATTATGTACATACACATGTTCATATATAATAGGTATATATTCAAAGTCATTTAATTCCAATGTCCTTTGTGTGTGTGTATATTTTATGTGTGCTTAACAAAAATTAGAAATACATGTGTATGTGTGAACATATATACAGATATATACGCACTGTTTTATGGGCTGCTAGAAGAAAAAAGGTCATGACACCACATTTGTTCTCCACATTTAAAAGTGAACTCTATCAAACTGGGCCTTTGGATACTTTATTACTTCTCCCTCCCTATTTGGAATCTTTTTTTTTCCTAGTAGCCTCAGGCATAGATAATTTTTTCTTTCCTTAGGAAAATCTATTGACATAATTATTAATTTAGGTTTTTGATTGCTCTCCTTTGAGCACCGCCAGACTCCTGTGGACTTAAGAGCTTGTACAGTATCAATATGTGCCTGCAATTTTAGACCTTCACAGAGGCTCATCTCATTCCCAGGAAGCCTAGAACTCTTGAGTCCTGTGTTAAAGGTACAGAGGGCTAGTATTTCTCATGATTGTGCTAAATGAGTTCAAACCACTTTCTCTGAGATCAAAAATTTTAAAAATCAAAGCAATGCCAGGCTTGTAAACCACACCCTTTCATATTTCAGTGAACGAAAGAGATTTTCTATGAAAACATGAGGTTAGTTATAACAAAGGGTGGATAACGTATTTGTCATTTGGCAGGCCTGATGTGGCACTGGAAGGAGAGGCAGAGCATAACAAAGATATTCTCCCCTCTCTCTCTCTCCTCTCTCCTCCCTCTCTCTCCTCCTCTCTCTCTCTCTCTCTGTGTGTGTGTGTGTGTGTGTGTATCATGGGGAATTGAACCCAGTGACTTGCACATGCTAGGCAAGCTTTCCACCACTAAGCCAAAAATCCAACTCTATTTTTTTCCTTTTGGCAAATTCTCCCACAGATATTCTGACCCAGAATCATAGAACTTGAGGATTTAAAAAGATGTCTTAGAGACTATTTAGTTCAACCCTCTTGTTCTGCAGGTGAGCAACTAAAGCCCAGAGCATGCATTTGGCCCCAGGCCATCATACTTGCTGGTTAACTTTCTTCAGGTCTCTTCCCCAGCGTTCTGCTAAAAGAGTAACGTAACTACAAAATGCACCAATAGTTATGTGTTGAAGTCTTTAAAAATACTTGAGCCTGATGGTAGAAATCTGGAACCAGCTGCAGGTGATTTCCTTCCTCACGTCTACTATTTGCAATGAGCATGCAGTTATCTTTCAACTCAAGGCATATGATCTCTAATGTATGTGGTAAAACTGCCCTTATATGTGTCCGTCTGTTGATAGAAGTGCTTTCTGAAGATGTTTCAGATGAGACAAGGGAACTATCCCTAATATGCTTCATAATGGATTGATGGTACAGGGCCAGCTTGGCAGAAATATTGAGATTCCCTTTAACAAGCCCATTCCCCATGCCCTAGGTGAAGAGGGATGGAAACCAAAAATCTGCAGAATTTTAGACAAAGAGGGAACATTAAAACGTCTCTCCAAACCCCTAAATCAATCCATGAGAACAATGAAGTTCAGAGGAAAGAAAAAGCAGATCATTGTTTCTGCAATTTTAGAATTGCAGAAAATTTATAATTTTAGGTCAAGGTGGGTGTTTTAGTTCATTTAATCTGTTATCACAAAATATCTTGAACTTAGTATAAAGTACTTGGTAATATTTACTAGACAGTAATTTATTGTTCACAGTTCTGGAGGCCAGGAAGTCCAAGATAAGGCATCAGCAGATCTGGTATCCCATGATAACTTGTTCCTCATAGATGGCAGTTTCTGTGTGTCCTCACATGGCAGAAGGGTTAAAAGGGGTGGGGTGGGGACAGTCCTCAAGATCTTTCATGAGGGCACTAATCCTGTTTTCATGATATCATCACCTCCTGACCTAATCACCTCCCAAGAGTTCCTCTCTTGACATCATCACCTTGGGCATTAGGTGTCAAAGGGACACAAACATTCAGATTATAGAAATGAGTGAATGAATTGGCAGAGAAAGAAAAGGGAAGGCAAGGGCTGGGGTTGTGGCTCAGTGGTAGAGCACTTGCCTCACATGTGTGAGGCAAAGGTTCAATTCTCAGCACCACATGTAAATAAATGAATAAGATTAAGATCCATCAACAACTAAAACATTTTTAAAGAAAGAAAGAAAGAAAGAAAAGGGAAGGCAATTTACATTCATTGCTCACTTCCTGAGTACTTGGCTCTGGGCCAGGTGCTTTCTGACTATCTTATCCTTTCACTGGTCTCCCTCACAGACCATAAGG